GAAATTTGAAATTAAAACCGCCAGCAGGTGGCAGCAAATCACTGTTAATAAGTGAGTCATTGCGATTGAACCGAATCATTTAAACGGTTGATTCATTCAAGAACGAAACACCGTTATGTTGCTCAGAGACACAAAACAGCTCTGTGGCTGTATTCGGAATGATTTTTGTTGGCGAAATAGAGCAAAACCAAGCAATATGGTGTCTAAAACGTAAGTCTCTTAATTAACTTATTGTTTATTGAAATCAATGTCACATTTGTAATCATGGTCATTTTGGGAGAAAAACGGCACTCTTCGTGTGAAATTGAATAACTATATGAAGTGGTATAAATATATAAATTTTCTGCCATCAGGTCTTGAATTCATGATCATTCTAAATGCATTTTAATAGACTAATTAACTTATTGTTTATTGAAATCAATGTCACATTTGTAATCATGGTCATTTTGGGAGAAAAACGGCACTCTTCGTGTGAAATTGAATAACTATATGAAGTGGTATAAATATATAAATTTTCTGCCATCAGGTCTTGAATTCATGATCATTCTAAATGCATTTTAATAGACTAAATCATGCAGTGAAAGAAAACACACTAAATGCGCACACGCACTAGTCTAGACTTTCTGTAGGGATGTTTTGAATGGTTTTTGCAAAATACTCGATAATGTCAAATCGCATAACAACATATAGCCATAACAACAGTCCATTGGCTAATAATGGTGCTAATATGTTAGCATCGGGTCATTTAATGTGATGAATCTTGTCGGACTGACTAACCTCTGAATTTTTTCGGTGGGTTTGCAAGATCCCCAACCCCTGGTTGCACCACACATCTGTCATCCACCAACCTGAATGGGCAAAATATGAATTTATACATTAAAGGATTAGAATATACATAGATATATATATTTTTTTTTTAATTAGACAAGCAGCAAATATCAGATTTTTTTTAATACAATTATGGTTTGACCCTACCCAAGACAAGTAGTTTAGAAAATGTATGCAATTATAATAAGAAATATTTTGTAAGCACCAAATCAGCATTTTACAATGACTTTTCTGAATCGGTGTCCAAATACACACATTTTTGCTCACTTTTTCCCTTAACCAACTATGAGATATTCACTGTTTGAATACAGTATGCATTTGTTGGAAATAGTCTCAATCATTTATGTTTTCTGAGGCACCTTGTTCAGCATGGCATGTCATGGCAAGTCATGGCATGTCTATGTTATACATGCAAAATATTCATCAGACACTGAACAAATGGAACAGATTATATAACTTTCAGACAGCCAGTATTAAAGATCAGATTTGAAACTAAATCAAATGTGCATTTAATCAGTTTCCAAGCATGGCCTCTGTTCAGTGGTGGATGTAAAGCAGCAAATTAGTCCAGCATCATTTACTGAAGTCCCACTGTGGACACTGACTGGTCTAAAAGAGAATTTCCAAAATGTTTCAGTGCTTATTAGTGCCACTGCCATGCATCAAATCAAAGAGTGGAAGCTTGTTAGATACTCAGTGGATTCACAAGACTAAAGTGAACAGAAAGAACAGCACAGAAACAAAACGAGCAACTTACATCATCAAGTAACAGCAAGTTTCCCTGTGATGTGCGTTTCTCCCAGAGTATTAAAGCTAAAAAAAAAAAAATTACAATTAAAATCTTTTTGCTTGGAACAGTCTTCAAGGTCAATGAAATGAAAATTATGAAAGCCCTTAAAGGAAAGTATGGGAAATTTTATGATATTTATCTAAAGTCTGTCTATCCTTCTATGAGTTGTCAGGCTTGTCTTTGTTTAATAACAAGGCCAAATAATTAAAAAATTATCAGTTAAAATCCAAACAAATGTCAAAACCTTCAAAAAAAAAAAAATCAGCAACCACAGAGCTACCATACCACCACAAAAAGAGCTGCTCTACTGAACGATGACTAAGCCAAGTAAGTGCAGCAAATGGACATTTTCACAGTGACAAATAGTTTTATTGCTTTAATTGACTATGCCAGCACACTTCCTCATCTTCCCGTTTATCTGTACAGGCATATTAAACAAAGACATTAAGTACATTAATAGGATGTGTTTTAGAAGAGGGAGTAGAAAGCAGGAAAGATGCCAACAGCCCAGTTTTACACGCTCATAAATGAGTAACAGAGTGCTTCTAGTTCTTTTTAAACTCTTTGACAGCCAGCAATCTTCAAAGACACAATGAAGTACACCAAGTTAAACATGAACCAAATGCAAGCCTGGTCGGCAGTGTTCAAACATACTAATTATAGCTCCATTACTTGATGACATGAGGTGAAGGAGTTAGACCTTGTCTAAAGCAAAATAATCGCCCCTTGCTTGCTACGTTAAGCACGTTATAACAAATTCCTATTCTTTCACTTAAACATTTGTATTTGATATGCAAGAAACTGGGAGTAAGCCTTCACAGCCATGAACTGAGGCCTATATAGAATGAACTGTGGGACCACCTATATTATTGTCCTTTTAACCAATCTACTCTCAAATTATGGCCATAAATGTTTGTTGAATTTCAACCAATCAAGCTTCTTATCAGTCTTTTTCCTCTACTAGGGTTCTGCAGTACAACAAGTCCTTGGTACCTAAACAAAGAAAACCCCATTCAACTTCCATTATATCTCTACAAACCCATGACAGCCGCTGGGAAATAATCCAAGAACGCCTTGTTTAGGATCAGAAGAAAAGCTCTGGCAATGTTTGGCATGGAGTGCAAGCATACTACTAAATACTGCACAGTATACACTGCATCCTGCCTACTACGTTTGCAAAATATTAAGAAATAGGCAGTGCAACCAATAAAAACTGTAGTTTGATTCATATGTGAAACATGTTTTTTTTGGCAATCTGATCATTTCATTCATTAACTGGAAATAGAAAGTTGAGTCAAGCACATTGCATTGTGGGAAGCAGTCCTCTCATATAATGCAACAGTGCCCACACACTTTTTCAACGGTCTTGGTTCCGAAGGGTATTTTTCATTGGGATTTAGAAAAAGGACTTTGTTTAAGAATTATGAGCTATGAGGTGAATCGCAACATCACAAACTTTGATTTGAAGCTTATTTTGGGCTCAGCAGAATAAAACTCATACATGTTTGAAACATCATGAGGGTGAGTAAACGATGACAATTTTCATTTTTGCGTGAACTATGCTGCTAATGGTTTATAAGTTATAAATCTATTCTTCTATGGAGAAAATGATTGGAATTTTAACTTCTGAACCTGAATGTTGTAATCGATTGCAGTGTTCTTTACTCTACATTTCAGCAGATGCAGTTGGTCTATGCATAAAAACGGTACAGATGCATAAGAAAGGTACAGATATGTACCATACTAGAGGGTACTAATATGTACACTTTAGATAGTAATTTGTACATTTAAGGTACTTACATGCACACTTTAGGGAAATGTGTACCTTTTGAAAGGGTACCGCCCAAATGATAGCTTTTGTACTGTACCTTTGCTTCTGAGAGTGCAGTATAAACATAGACTGCAGAGACAGTAAGAGTAGTATGTTAATATCCTATAAGCTCTCTTTGACACAAAGTCTGCTCAAACAGAACACCACAATTTCCAATGCAAGTGCACATTACTACAAATATGTGTAAATTAGCCTGCATTATGCTCCAAACAAAACCTCAGCACTTACGTTTGAATCATCGTAAGAAAGCGAAAAACCACACATTAAGTTTTACAAATGCTGAAACTCCAAAACAACTAAACAGCTGTGTCATGAATTGTGAAAAGTGACAGAGAAATGACCACGGCTGCAATCCTTCTGATACAATGCCACAAAAAACTTTTAAAGATAAGAGATTTAAGCAAAGAGATGTTGTATATATTGTGACCGCAGCATTCTGAAGGCCACAGAGCAGAATGCCACGGTGCACTGGAGCTTAATTTGTTCTGCACCTTAATTGCTTGATGAGTCATTGCACAACAATGCAAAAGTGATTCAACGCGACCTGAAATGGAGCTGGGTGTTTCACCTCCATGTGGTTAGATTCATAATCTTTCATAAGACTCTCAAGCAGATGTGTTCCTACATGACAATATAAAAAAAAATCACATGAAAACCACTTGTTACACAGTGCAATCTCAGAAACTGTAAAATTAAATTAGATTTGACTAAGTTCACCCAAAAATGAAAATTTGCTGGAAAATATATTCATATGATGTTTTTACTCTCATTCTGACGGCACCCATTCACTGCAGAGGCTCCATTTGTGAGCAAGTGATGTAATGCTAAATTTCTCCAAATCTGTTCCAATAAAGAAACAAACATCTTGAATAGCCTGAGGGCGACTACATTTTCAACTATTTTTATTTGTGGGTATTCCTTTAATAATTAAAGGTGCACTCAGTCAATCTTTATCTGAGTTTAGCTGGATCTTACTCATTCCAAAAGTACCACTTATCCTCATTCTGTTTTGATGGGTGACCTGCAGACATCCTGAATCATACTATAGTTACCGCTTATCCACTGGGGCTGGTGCCGGAGCTGGTGCTCAGCCAAGAATGGCACTCGTTCAGAACCGGCTCGTATTTCCACTTTCAAACTGCAGTCAGTGGTTCCCTTGTTCGAGACAAGCAAGATTTAGGGGCCGGTTCCGAACCAAGATCTGTGATCCAAGACTATTTTTCCAGCCCCAGTGGAAAGGTGTTAAGTGTTGACAAGACTCCACGCCTGCAGCATGTATAATGTGTTGTGTGCTATAGGCTACTTTGTAATGACCAATGGATAAAAGAGCTCTATAAAGTGAACATATTATTCTTTCTGTGATTATTAGTAGCCATGGATGAAAATCAACCATTTGCATGACACACCAGGTCACATGATAAAAATGGTGCACTCCATGAGGCAGTGAACCATGTAGATTAAATCAGCTTGTTTTTTATAGTAGACTAATATATCTGGAGTCTTTATTTCATGTGCTGTAAATAACTGCAATGATATTTCTCTCAAATGCGCTGTTGATTTTTTCCACGTGTAAAGCTTTTTAATTAGCAAACACTACTACATGCACCTTTAAATTGAGCCTACATTGTTATATTAGCGCTACTGTGTAAACTAACAGAAAACTTTGCATTCCTGTTCAATGATTTGCATGCTTCTGAAGCAATGCTGTCACATAGCGCCTCTGGCCTGCAGCTCAAATCACTTCCTACTTCCACTCAACAAACTTCTTCTGACATGAGGAGGACAAAATATACATGAAATGGTATTGCATGTTTAATAATGTAACACTGCATTTTGGGCAACATATTAACATCAGCGTATCTGAACGAAATGTCTAACCGCCATGATTAATAACGTTTAAGACTAATATAATGAGCAATGGCAGGCAACTTACCCTAAAGTGCTGATAAATCCATTGACAGTTCCCTCAGCATACAGAGACACGATATCCCCAATGTGAAGGAAACAGGACCTGTGTTCCGACATATCTGCAAACGTTTCAGTAGATTTTTACGATACTTTAACCCCTCTGATCCAGTGCAATGTGTCCAGTCGACTCAGTGTCTCAAGCCACTTGTTTCTTCGCTTTGCTCTTTGACAGTAACACATTTTAATCCAGCCGTCCGGAGAAGAGATGTGCTGCTGAGCCCGTGACTTTTGAATTGTGAATCGTCTAACTGTCGCGTTTCTTCATGTTTTCAACTTCTTCCTGTGAAACAAACGAGGCTTTTTCTCACCAATATGCCACTCGAGTGGGAGGAGACTCGCTCTCTGTCCCGTGAAATCAAGGAAGTGATGCTGTCTGTCTTGAATGCTGTGGTATGCAACTAAAAAGTGAGAATGCGACTTGTGTGTTTGGGCATTTGCGCAGTCGTGCTTGCACTTGCGTCGGTGGTGCACAATTATTCCGGAAGTTTATCGTCAAACTTTTTCTTTTACATTTTATTTTATGAATGAGTTTAAACAATACTGTTATTTTTTTGTATAATGTAAAACCAGTATTTAATATTATTATTGAATATATCTGCACTTCAGTGAAGTGTCATCCAGCTATTTGTTTGTTTAGCTTTTTTTATTATTATATATGACCAATTATAGCCTACATACAGTAAAAAATAAAAATACTACTTTAGAAACCATTCTGATTTCGCCATTAGCCTATTGCTTCAGTTCTAAATATTTAATAAAGCAAATAGCCATATGCCATAGTCATAAACAGTGTTGGGGAAAGTTACTTTTAAAAGTAATGCATTACAATATTGCGTTACTCCATAAAAAAGTAACTAATTACGGTACTTAGTTACTTTTTATGGAAAGTAATGCGTTACGTTACTTTTGCGTTACTTTTAAAATCTGGACAGGGCTTGCTTGTTTGTTTTTAAAATAAAAAAGTTCTGTTTTTGGCAAATATAAAAGCCTTTTCACACCAAAAGTGAAATGAATAAGCCTCAGGCTGAAGGGAAAGTACATTTACATCCGTACAGTAGAATGCAGAAGAAGACATTTCAACACACTTCAGCAATAAAAAAAGACACAAATGTTTGTCTAGAGTAACTTTTGCTTATTAGTACGGTTGAACTGGATCATCGAAGGTCAGAAGCAAAGACATTGGTTAATAGAATGGGATTAAATACATAAAGGATATTTGTGTTGTTTAACATTTAATTATTGCAGGTTTGCGTCATATTCTGAGTTGCATTATTTTTATTCATTTTGAGGAATACTGAATCTGTGTGCGGGTTTTTTTTTTTTGAGTGAGATGAATTAATGCATATTCATATTTATTTTAGAACTACAGTAACATATGATTTCTCTCAACATGGGGACAGGAGAGCTGTCAATCAATAAATTGGAAAAAAGTAACTTGCGTAACTTATTTGAAAAAGTAACTTAGATATTCTCTTGTAAATTAAAAAGTAATGCGTTACTTTACTAGTTACTTGAAAAA